CAAGATGACGATGGATTGATTGACCAGCCTCTGCAAATCATTTCAGAGGTATCTGAGTTGGAAGAGAGCGATGATGCAGAAGTGCTTTTTGAGCCCCCTCCGATGTTTGCCAGGTAATTTATCAGTTATCAGTTATACATTCAACAAATTGTAGGGGTTTCATTAAGGTCTGGGTACTGGGCAAATTGGTTGTGCGCTGGCCTTCCGATAGCCTACAGCACATGTTTTCTGGGCTAGTTTGGCTGGAACTCGAATGTAAAATCCTGAATGAATAGTCAGAATTTAATTTACCGCCATGCCGAGGACTATGTCGTGTATATTATTCATGTGTCTGTTAAACTTTACTTGACTGTTTGTTTTCTTCTTGGCTTATATCCATGCCTGAAATACTAAATATTAATTTTAAAACAATATTATTGGTTAATCTTCCTTTTGGTTATGATTCATCCTTTTTATAGTGTTTTTGTAAACAACTGAACAAATCATGATCATGTAGATGGGATTTCAGCGCATGAATATTTTTTGTTTCAATCTTTTCATTTATTGCTCAAGTAATAACTTGTATATAAGACTTGAAATGTAAAGAAATATAGTTTGGCCCTCTTTTGCCATGTCCTGTTGTTGCAGAAACAAGCAAATATGCTAATTGTGAACTTATTATTTTAGCTCTGATGAGGGAGAAGTGAAAGAAGAATTAGAGGAACCATTCATAATGGAGAATGGTTACGAAGGTGATTTGCCATCACCCGTCATTCCGTCTTCTCTTCTGGAAGAGCAGGTTAAGTTACCCAAGAAAACAGCTTTGTAGTGCATGGGTTGTTATTGGGCACTGATCATCAAGTTACGGAAGATTTCCTTTGAATGGAAACTTTCACTGGGAATCAAAACAAATAATTATTGACGCAGCATTAAGTGTGCTGCCAATCGCAAAAACAGTCTTGTAAAGTGAAGAGGCAAACTTGCTGAAGCACATGTAAATGTGTTTCTAAGTTTTAAGTGTGAACTCAAGACAGAGTCCTTGAGTGTGTAAGCAGTCAAATGAAAGGTACTGAGCAAGTACTTGGTTCTTTCCTGTTTATTAAGCTATTCAAAGTAATTTGAACTTTTTGTTTGTGGGTGATCATACAAATGAAAGTTAGAGCAGCAGTTTCGTGCAGGAGTGTTGATGCTAAACACATGTTATTTGTAATGTTTTGGGAATTAAAATCCAGATGTGTTACACTCAGTTGAAGCTACCGAGCTATAAGTTATATATGTGTGGTGCTGTCAACTGATTTTTTCCCCACATGAAAATTACACTGTTAAGAAGTTTTCTTAATAAATCTTGTTTTGATTTTAGCCAAGAGATGATAACAGATTTCACAATCTTGCTCTAGAAGTGTGGACTGAAGATGACTGTTTGGAGTGGCTTGACTATATTGGATTAGGACATTTTACACCAGAGTTCAGAGGTTTGTTTCATTACACAATGTTCCTTTTGTAGCAGTACCAGTGTCACAGTTAACCTAATTCATACAAAATCAGGATGCTGTTAAGTGCAATTTAACAAAGGTAACAACAAAGAGTAACTGGTACTTTTGGTCAGCGGTATTTGTATGGTATTGGAGGCTCAATGCACTTTGCCATTGTACTAGCATGTTCCAGCGTGGTGGTCCCTGGAACGTTTTGGTTGTAGGATTGAGCAGTTTCCTGCACATCTTTGGTCTGTTCATCAACATCTTTCTGCCCTCCCCCCCCCTCCCCCTGTCTCCACTGTTAACTCAGTGTGACAGGTACCTGGAAGACTGCATGTGGGCTCATGGCTGGGTTGCGGGGATTGCCACCCAAGGGAGCATTATACTGTCTAGGGGCTGACCTGGTCACAGTGGAGGCCCTGGTTATCCCAGGCACCCATCTTCCATACAGCACAATGCAGTTGTTAAGCTCGAAAAAAGTGCCATCCGGTCATCCGGACAAGTAGATTCTCCCTCTGGGCAGGCAACTTTTCACTCTCACTTGCCCAATGGGCAAGGGCTCAGGCAAGTCATCTGCCAACTAAATCATTAAAAGAGCAAACTAAGACTTACCCAGGGCAAGTAAAATTTGAGAGCTACTTGTCCCAAGGTCTCCCAGGGGCAAGCTGGAATTCAAGTTTCTTTCAAGTACTGAAAATGCTACTCATTTCTAAATAAATCCTTCATAAAATTGAAATAACTTATGTAGCAATATGAAGCTCATTATCTCAGGCCATTTCAGATGACTATGATCACTTGACTGACATTCAACCTCAACTCTTAATTTTACTTGCAATGTCTTGGTACTTATGATATCAAGTTTTCAATAACAGTTGTATTATGTAAAGCATGTTTTTTTATGTATTATTATTTTATGTACTAAAGCTTGATCCAAAATAAGGCTACCTGCAAAACATTACATGTAAAACTAATTTTACTTCCTTTTTTCCCTTCAAATTTTAAGCTTTGTATCTACATGTGTAAATTTTTTTTTTCTTTCACATCCAGAACACCATGTGGATGGCAAAGTGTTAAAGAACATCAATTTCCAGCTGCTTGGTAGGTGCTTTACCCTGAAATTTCTAAGAGCCCTCTAATTTTTCCTTATGTTCTCAATGCCAAAACAACTTGGAGGACAAAGAAATAACCAGCAAAGTATAAATTACATACTGCCAAATTTTTAGCGCTGATAATAAAATAAATGGAACCAGTCTGAAAGGAGAATTCACACTGTGGTAAGGCTGGATATATTTCTGTACATTATACCTCTGTCATTATAATTATTTGACTGTGTTTATTATATTATTGAACACATAGCAGTTATACTTGTTTTGTTAAAGTTTGTCGCACTTTGTTTCATTCCAGAGGAGATTGGTATCAATTCACCCGATGAACGTGAAGTTATACTTTCAGAGATTTATCGGCGCTTCCACCCTGAAGAAGAGGACTTGTTCGAAATGGAAATCCAAGGTGAGATCAATAGTCTTTCAGGGATGTCACTAAGGAATGCTGCCGGCTAATTTCACTGCCTGAAAGATAATTTAAATCAGGCTGATATTGCAGACAGAAACAAAGACTTGGGTGAACTTTGGAGCTGCCAAGGTCAGAAAAACTAGCTGGGCTTGTTAATGACCTGGTTTAGCAGTGTCTTAGCTACTGCTTGGCCTTTATTTTACGTGCTGAATGATTTTAAGTGAGAGTGTTCTAGCAGAGAAAAAATTTTTATCGACCTATTTAGCCTTCTATATTCTTATATGTTTGATCAACCTCCTAACAGGTGGGTCAATGTTAAACCCTAGGCAGGGTTTTTGAACTTTTATCTTCAGCTGCTTATGAAAGTGTTTTAAGGTGAATACGCTAGATTGTTTTTCAGGCATAGAAAATAAAGTTCTTATTATCATCATTATAATAACAGATAGGCCAGTAAAAAAATTCTTTTGTTACATCATATTGTAAATTACTGTTAAGAATAAGATTCTACAATGTGCATTTCCTACAGGTGCTCTACAGTCTGCTTCTGAGCAGGAAAAGATGAAAATCATGGCCGTCCTCAATGCTCTGCGATCTCCAGCATTCCAAGCCGAACTTGGGTTGACATCTTCTACTGGTTCGTCCTCTCCACGTGACAGTGACACGGGACACAACATGGCCTCGGAAACTGCGTCTCTCTCCAGCAGCATGACAGGCAGTGAAGGTCATTCTCAGGATCTGGGCATGCCTCCACCACCCCCTCCTCCCTCCTGGTCGCAGTCAGCATACTCGTCAGACAGCTTGGGCAGAGATCTTGATGTAAGTGTGAATGAGTTCCTTTTCTGTTGTGGTTGTTTTTTCCTTCAAATTTTTACGTCTCACAAAAAATCTCTTGGACTAGTTCACTGTTAATTTTTAAATATGCGTTCTTTACTCCTTATTGATCCTGGTTTCCAGACAGTCAGGAATTCACCGTTACCTACCTATAATTGTCTCAGATGATCCTGAGTTTGCCAAAGAGTTTGGTGGCTATGACTCTATCTTTCTGTCTCCTTGGACACATCTTAAGAACACTGGAGAAATGTCAAACTAATGATCTGTTTTCTCATGATACATTTTCTTATACAGGGCCTCGACTTAAAAAGCAAGGGAGGGAAATCAAAGAAACATAGCAAGACATCTAAGGAGAAGGACAAGTCAGGAGAAAAAGCATCCAAAACTGAAAAACAGGCAAATAAGCAGAAGAAACACAAGAGGTATGGATAACTACTGTGTAAAAATTTTTTCCTCGGGCTGAATTATATACTGGGGATTTTTCTACTGTAGCTGAGATCTGTACCATTCTCCTCACAGCTCCTACAAAGTACACACATACGAAATTCTGCCAGCTACACAGGCTAGCACTGTTTGTTGTGGTGGATGCTAGGGGATGAGGCCATGAGGGAATGGTTGAGGGAATTTTCTCTCAGCTTGACTCCACACCACTGTCCTGATGGCTGACACAAAGTACTCGCGTATGAAATTTTGCTAGCTACACAGGGTAGCACTGTTTGGCTCTTTCAGTGAAAAGTTTGAAACAATGTAACCTGTCATATTTCCAATTTACAGGGTGTCCAAACTACTGGACAGCTTGTCTCTGGGTTCAGGATCATCAAAGTTGACAAAGCTATTTCATCATTCACACTCTTCATCGTCAACATCATCATCGGCAGCAAAAAAGCTCAACCCTGCGATGCAGTGTCTGCTACAAGCTGGCCCACAGGGATTACTCAGGATATGGCCCACGGCTCTCTCTGAGGAAATGAATTATTGCAGCTTTATGGTTAACATGACAACCACATGTGCTGAGATCATTAAACTCGTTTTTGTGAAATATGAAGTAGTCGATGATCCACGAAGGTTTTATGTTTGTGAAATGGGATTAGGAAAAGGAGGTAAGCATCGCAAAATTTTGATTTTGAACTGTACATCAAGACACTATGCCTTAATTGATAATCTTCTATATTCTCAATACTTGTCTGCTTAACAATGCATTGATATTGTATGGAGAAAATGGATTTTGATCACACTCTCGTTTCCTATCAGGTACTCATCATGATCTCACTGACGCTGACTGTCCACTGTTGTTTCAATGCCGTTGGGCCGATCCTGACAAGCAGCGCTTTGAATTGCGCTGTAGAAATGAAGGGGTTATCAAGGTACGTTAGAAAATCGAAGAAGTTCAATAAGCATTTAAAAACGTTCGAGAAGCCAGGCATAGTAAGCTTTTATAAAATGATAGAAACTTTAGCCAGTGACAACTCTTTCTATCATCTTGTAAGAGCTACAAAGAGCTGGTTAATGTTATTTGTCTCAATACTTTTAGTGCTATTATAGCTTGTATCAGCCCGCCCATAGACATCTTTGTTTGCTTCTTGCGGCAAAATGAGACGTCTGTGCACAGGCTAAGGCTAAAGACAAATATCAGCTTAACGTGTATATTGATTTTTGCCTTAGATGCTGTTTGAACTGGAGGGGTACGAAGACGACTTAGACTATCGTTCCATCCCGTTGTCATCAAAGACTCCCTGTTCAGAAGCGGTGGGCATCATAGTGAAGAAATATGACTTGCCTGGTGATGCCAACGAGTACTACTTGGTGGAAGTTTCCGAGGAAAATGAAGGTGCGGTTTTCCTTTACTTTTATTTAGGTAAAAATGATAACTAGAATGAATACTATTCTTCTCTGCTTCTTTATAAGTATTGCAATTAATCTCCCAGTGTCGCATAGGGCAAGAACACTATTGCCGGGTATTTCATGTTATAGAACTTGTTGTGTTCAGTCAGCATTTTTGGGACGTACAGAGCTTCCTTTCAATCGAAGGAAACCCGAAACGAATAGTTACCAAAGGTAAAAGTACTTCGAATAGGTAAGAATGAAGCAAAATAGAATGATGATGATTAAGAATAAAGAAGATTAAGACGGACTAAAAATCTTTCTTTATGTTTCACCGTGCACAGATGACAGAGAAGAAGTGGCTGATCACGTGTGTCCCCTGAGACTGCAAATGGCCTGGAGCGAACCTGATCACGTGTTCAGACTATGTAGAAGACCAACTGAAGTCAAAGAGAACGAGCAGAAAGACACATTGGATGGCTGGTTGGTGAAATGTTTTAAAGGTTTTAAAAGAAAATGTATGACATATCGATCGGAGGGACTGCTCTGATAGGAGAGGCATTGGCCTTAGATGACTTTCTCGTAGGGGATGACATCATTGGTTCTCGATTAAGGAATTTTTTTTTCTCTCTCTCGTTAAACCTTCAAGGCAAAAAATGGTTTAATGATGGTTTGCTTTTGCCTAGGACGACAGATGCGACGGAAGAAATCTCACCAGAACCAGGCATCAACTCAGAAGTATCCTCAGTGCGAGATGAGGACGAGCTGGAGATTACACCCGGTGCCACGGGCATTATCGAAGGAGACGAAATCGTGGAGGAAATCAGCGATGATCTGATGGAGGGACTGACCGAACTGGACCACGTCATTGACGAAGAATCCGAGGTGATCGCTTCTCAGGAGCTGGAAGTTGTCCGACAAGAACTTGCGGCTAAAGAAGAGGAGCTTCGAGAATTGCGGGTGCGAAGCGACACGCTGACCGAGAGAGAAGACGAGATTGAAATCTTGCAGCGCGAAAATGAGGAGCTTAGAAGACGATGCGAGGAGCTTGGTGAATTGACACGTAATGACGAGTCGCTTGTTGAGAAAGAGAGGGCGCTTGAAGAGCTACGACGAGAGAACGACGAACTGAGACAGAGGACACAGGAAACTGAGGAAAAGTTCAACAATGAAATCTCCATGAGGGATCGTGAAATTGAAAGGATTTACGTCCGAAACAACGAACTTTCCAACGGTGAGAAGGAGCTGGAGAGTCTGAGAAAGCTACGGGATGATTTTGAGTCACAAGGAAACGAATTGGAAAAGTTGAGGGTTCTGAATGATGAATACAGCTCTAGTGAAAACGAGCTTGCCCTAAAACTCGGAGAACTGCAGGAAAAACACGACGAATTGTTAACCAAAGTAGGTGAATTGGAAAAANTAACCTGTCATATTTCCAATTTACAGGGTGTCCAAACTACTGGACAGCTTGTCTCTGGGTTCAGGATCATCAAAGTTGACAAAGCTATTTCATCATTCACACTCTTCATCGTCAACATCATCATCGGCAGCAAAAAAGCTCAACCCTGCGATGCAGTGTCTGCTACAAGCTGGCCCACAGGGATTACTCAGGATATGGCCCACGGCTCTCTCTGAGGAAATGAATTATTGCAGCTTTATGGTTAACATGACAACCACATGTGCTGAGATCATTAAACTCGTTTTTGTGAAATATGAAGTAGTCGATGATCCACGAAGGTTTTATGTTTGTGAAATGGGATTAGGAAAAGGAGGTAAGCATCGCAAAATTTTGATTTTGAACTGTACATCAAGACACTATGCCTTAATTGATAATCTTCTATATTCTCAATACTTGTCTGCTTAACAATGCATTGATATTGTATGGAGAAAATGGATTTTGATCACACTCTCGTTTCCTATCAGGTACTCATCATGATCTCACTGACGCTGACTGTCCACTGTTGTTTCAATGCCGTTGGGCCGATCCTGACAAGCAGCGCTTTGAATTGCGCTGTAGAAATGAAGGGGTTATCAAGGTACGTTAGAAAATCGAAGAAGTTCAATAAGCATTTAAAAACGTTCGAGAAGCCAGGCATAGTAAGCTTTTATAAAATGATAGAAACTTTAGCCAGTGACAACTCTTTCTATCATCTTGTAAGAGCTACAAAGAGCTGGTTAATGTTATTTGTCTCAATACTTTTAGTGCTATTATAGCTTGTATCAGCCCGCCCATAGACATCTTTGTTTGCTTCTTGCGGCAAAATGAGACGTCTGTGCACAGGCTAAGGCTAAAGACAAATATCAGCTTAACGTGTATATTGATTTTTGCCTTAGATGCTGTTTGAACTGGAGGGGTACGAAGACGACTTAGACTATCGTTCCATCCCGTTGTCATCAAAGACTCCCTGTTCAGAAGCGGTGGGCATCATAGTGAAGAAATATGACTTGCCTGGTGATGCCAGCGAGTACTACTTGGTGGAAGTTTCCGAGGAAAATGAAGGTGCGGTTTTCCTTTACTTTTATTTAGGTAAAAAATGATAACTAGAATGAATACTATTCTTCTCTGCTTCTTTATAAGTATTGCAATTAATCTCCCAGTGTCGCATAGGGCAAGAACACTATTGCCGGGTAATTCATGTTATAGAACTTGTTGTGTTCAGTCAGCATTTTTGGGACGTACAGAGCTTCCTTTCAATCGAAGGAAACCCGAAACGAATAGTTACCAAAGGTAAAAGTACTTCGAATAGGTAAGAATGAAGCAAAATAGAATGATGATGATTAAGAATAAGGAAGATTAAGACGGACTAAAAATCTTTCTTTATGTTTCACCGTGCACAGATGACAGAGAAGAAGTGGCTGATCACGTGTGTCCCCTGAGACTGCAAATGGCCTGGAGCGAACCTGATCACGTGTTCAGACTATGTAGAAGACCAACTGAAGTCAAAGAGAACGAGCAGAAAGACACATTGGATGGCTGGTTGGTGAAATGTTTTAAAGGTTTTAAAAGAAAATGTATGACATATCGATCGGAGGGACTGCTCTGATAGGAGAGGCATTGGCCTTAGATGACTTTCTCGTAGGGGATGACATCATTGGTTCTCGATTAAGGAATTTTTTTTTCTCTCTCTCGTTAAACCTTCAAGGCAAAAAATGGTTTAATGATGGTTTGCTTTTGCCTAGGACGACAGATGCGACGGAAGAAATCTCACCAGAACCAGGCATCAACTCAGAAGTATCCTCAGTGCGAGATGAGGACGAGCTGGAGATTACACCCGGTGCCACGGGCATTATCGAAGGAGACGAAATCGTGGAGGAAATCAGCGATGATCTGATGGAGGGACTGACCGAACTGGACCACGTCATTGACGAAGAATCCGAGGTGATCGCTTCTCAGGAGCTGGAAGTTGTCCGACAAGAACTTGCGGCTAAAGAAGAGGAGCTTCGAGAATTGCGGGTGCGAAGCGACACGCTGACCGAGAGAGAAGACGAGATTGAAATCTTGCAGCGCGAAAATGAGGAGCTTAGAAGACGATGCGAGGAGCTTGGTGAATTGACACGTAATGACGAGTCGCTTGTTGAGAAAGAGAGGGCGCTTGAAGAGCTACGACGAGAGAACGACGAACTGAGACAGAGGACACAGGAAACTGAGGAAAAGTTCAACAATGAAATCTCCATGAGGGATCGTGAAATTGAAAGGATTTACGTCCGAAACAACGAACTTTCCAACGGTGAGAAGGAGCTGGAGAGTCTGAGAAAGCTACGGGATGATTTTGAGTCACAAGGAAACGAATTGGAAAAGTTGAGGGTTCTGAATGATGAATACAGCTCTAGTGAAAACGAGCTTGCCCTAAAACTCGGAGAACTGCAGGAAAAACACGACGAATTGTTAACCAAAGTAGGTGAATTGGAAAAATTGAAGGAAACAAATCGAGAGCTTTCCCACAGAGTGGAAGAGAGCGATTTCCTGCGACAAAAGCTCGATAGGAGCGAAGTGGAGAAGAAAGAGCTGGTTGAAAAGCTAAACGAGTTGGACCGAGATAGAAATGATTCTAAAAGAAGTGACACCGAAGAAGTCGTAAATCTGAGAAAGGAAAATCTTGAATTGGCAGCCAAGTGCAAAGACGCAGAGGAAATGAAGAAAAATATCATCAAGCTGACTGCTCAAATGCGTGAGATGGAAACGCAGAGTCAAGAGCAGATGGACCATTTCCAGGAAAAGCTGGAAGACCTCGTCACGGAGAAACAACAGTTACTCGACAGAATAGCTGAGTTGGAAGAACGCGAAAAGAATGCGGAGGCTCAGGAAAACAGCGCAAAGGAAGTCGAGGATTTAAAACTCGAGAACATCTTTCTGGTGGAAAGGACGAAAGAAGTCGATGAACTGAAGTCCGCTGTGGCTAAACTGGCGGCAGACGTGAAGGAAAATGAATCATTTAAGCAGAAATACAAAGAGCTTCGTGATGTGGAAAGTGTAAGTATGAGACTATGTGAGTCAGTCATAAAATCTCGGGTTATTGAACGATGTCAAACGGTTGTCACCCTGTCGTTTGATTTGCCTTGTCCGGCGTGAGCAGCTACCCTAAAAATGGGCATGTAGCGCCTTTTAAAGGGGTTATAATTTACTACTAACGTTGTTAACTCGAGGGTTAGCACGCTCTGACCAATCAGAGCAGGGGTATTGCCAACCAGCTGAAAGGCCGCAAAACTAATCTCGACTTTTCCCGCGCTTTCCACCGCCTTTCCTGCGCTTTCTTACCTTGGCCTTTCGTTGATTGGTTTACTGCGGCCTTGCCCGGTTCCTGTACGGCTCCCAGACCTTCACTGTCAATTGATTTCGTTGACGTATCCGAGCGGAACCGCACGTTTTTCACCTCGAACCACGTGACCTGAAAACGATTGACCGAGACAAAAAATCGAGGCCTGGGAACTGGGCAACCGCGGTTGTTGTTTTTTGTTTTTTGTTTTTAACTTTTTATATGTATTCTTTTTTTTTTGGCAGTATTTAACCAAACAGGTCAATGCCGCGGAGACTATCGCCAGACAGAAGGATAAAAAGTTAAAGGAATCTGAAAACAAGATAAATACACTGGTGAGTTCAACACTCTACATTTCTTTACCAGTGTTAGGCCTGTTGGAAAGTGTATTACAGTTCTTGTAGTAAGTGCGAGCAGACAATCATGCATGGGGTGATGCAGTTGAATTCCACTATCTTGAGCCCTCATGGGAAACGAGAATAAGTTCGGGACAACGGGAGTTCAAGATAGCCGATAGTAAATGATTGAAGTGTATATTCAAGGGAAATAATTTATGTTCTAGATAGGGGAAGTTCAATATAGCGATGTTCTAATGTACTTTCCAAAATAATTGACTTATTTTTTTAAGTAAGTATAGGTTTTGAAATCTACACTTGCCTACATGTAGCACATTTTACGCTGAACTACACCCCGTAATAATATGCGTCTGAGGACTTTTAGCTCCTGTTATCAATTTAATTAAATCTAATCTGTTCAAGACGAAAGCCTTGATGCGCATTTTAGTGCCAGTCGAGTTTCAGGGACAACATGGAGAGGTTTGTATTGTGGTACAATTTATCAGGTTGTTTTTATGTGTGCAGACCGAAGCAGTGAAAGACATGGAAGCTAAGCTTGAGGAACAGGAACAAAACAAACTGTACCTTGACCAGCTACTCGCCATGCTCAAGGACAGGGACCCCACTCTTCTGCACGTTATAAACAGCTCGCTTGCTTCAAGGTAAGACGATTGCAAAGATTCTTACAGGACACTCGTGTCTGGGTTTGCTTATAGCGCTCAACAGATGTGTTGTTGAGGATGAGATGCGCAAAGAGACGGTATAGTTAGGACGCTTTCCATTCGACCAAAAATTCCGGGTTCAATTTCTTGTATTTTCCACGGGCGAATTGATCAGTATTTTCCTGAATTCCATAAAAAACAAGGACAACTTCGCGAGGCATACCCAAATTTTCGAAAATCTCTAACCAGGCATTTCGGAATTTTCAGCAATTTTTAAATTTTACATTCCTACCATTTGTTCCCATTTCTAAAGTTCCAGAATTTTTTGTTGAATGGAAAGCGCCCTTAGTTATTTATGGTTAAAGCAAACTATTGTCCTGTAATTGTTAAATAGATTGATGGTTAGTCCTTTACCTTTTCCCAAATCAATTCCATCCTTAGGAAAAAACGGAAGGAGGGTACGGCTAAACGAAGGTTGCTGTCACGGCCTTGGTGACATTTCGAATTGAAAAGGATGCCGTATAAATTATTTTCTCTGTAGAACCGGAATGAATGAAATTCAAATATAAAGTCTCGTCACTATAGTCACACGACGAATCATTAACCATCTTCCTAGTCTATTCTAATTTTAGTCCTATTTTAGATGTGTGAGCGTGCTTTTCCAAGTTTTGTTTTATTTTGTTTTGTTTTGTTTTGTTCTTCTATAGCGAACCAGAGGAATGGTGCTGAACATCGAAGTGGATTCTGCGCAGCTGGAGATTACCACTGACCTGATGGACTGAAGTACCATTATCTAGTTGCTAGATGTAGTAGCACAAGTGCAGTGCACCGTGCAGTTGTTAGGTAGTCGATATACAGGGGTAGGACAGAGAGGTAGCATTATATGAAGTGTAAAATAATAATCACTCCTGTGAGTATTAAATGAGCCCGCGTTTTGAACCGACACATGACCTATCTTTATGACACAATGCAGACGTCACAGCCCTTCAAGTACTCTCGAGCGTTCGGGCTATTTTTTGATTAGATAGAGTCGGAGGATTTTTGAGTACTCTTATTGAAGATTTTCTAACATAACCAGATTTTTTATTCACCCAAAGTGTAATTTAGCATTTTACCATGGCTACTCCGGAATCATGAGTGCCATCTGGAGGAATATTGGCTCTGAAGTAAGGTGCTTGGTATGGATAGCTATTGCTGAAGGCAGAAAATACTGTTAGAATGTGGCCGGGTTGGGAATTGGTGGTCAGTCTAGTTGACTCGGACTGTAGACGATAGATTGGATTGGCAATAAATGTAGTCTAGTTCCTAAACTCTCACTTCCTCGCGAGAGAAACCTGTGTAGGCTTAAACCTGTCTCCTAAGCGGGAGAAACCTGTCTAAGCTAGGTTGGGAAGGGAGAGTTCAGCGACTGGACTCCAATTAATGTAAAAGTATTTATAGCAGTGCCCCGTAGTCTCGAATAATAATGAATTAGCCAATCAGAGCTTGACGCGAAGCATCTGAAACCGTGTAGCAGGTGGAAAGGGCTGGAAAACTTGTACCTGATGGCCAGCGCGGGAAAAAGTCACGTGGTTGGGTTTGGTTTTGTACCTAATTGGCTGAGACGAAATGCTTGCTATGATTGGTTAGCGCATGTCACACGAACTTTTATAAACACGGTGCTACACAAAAGCGAACAGATAGAAACTCGCTCACTGAATTTCAACTGATGATATTTGAGAGCGAGGTAGTCATAGTGTAACTGGAACGCATAATTTGTATTTTATATTGTATATCCTTAAAAAGGTTCTGTATATATCTTGAATTAATGCTTCGCATATAAAAATGTGTTGAAGCAAAGTTCAGCATTTCATGGTTCGTTATACAAATTGGTAATGGTGCCCTTTTTTAGAAACACTTTTCAGACGTTCTTTCGCACAGATGTTTGAGAATATATACGGATGGGGGCGCATATATTTTATTAACTTTATGATTAATTAAACGCTTTTTGGAGAAATTGTGTAATTCGTATTTAAAGATATTTTGGTGTCGGGCATGAATTATTTTTGGTGCTCGTGCTTTTTACGCCAAATAAAGTGACAGTAATTTGTATCGACGTCTGTTACTGAGCTTTTTATACGTCTTTCCTCTAATTGCGCAGAAGTAGCGAAAAGCGTAGGATGTCTTCTGAGTTGCAAAGTGCGAGGTAGGTATCCATCGCCTTTTACCGATATCCATGGTACGCGGAATGACTAACCGCTTTCGTATCAAACTTTCGGTTAGGACTTTGCGGGACAAGAAGTCAAACTTTCGCTTCTTTTATAAGGAAAGGGGCCCTATTGTTAGTAAACCATGGTTAGAAATGAGCGACAGTTCCCGACGCGCAGCCAGATCATCAAGCGCGAAATTCAAAATTCTTCGGAAGTGATACGTGTTTCAAATCCAGCTTCTGCGGGGGAGAGTGTGGAAAAGATTGTTGCAGCTTGAACACATCTAAAAAGGAGTGTTGTGGGGGCTTGTGACAAGAAGAGCGAGGTCTGGACAGTAAACGATCGGGAATGAAAAATCGAGAGTAACGAATAATTCAAACTCTCTGGCTTGGTCAATAGTCCCTCTTTTTCACGTCACTCGATTTTCCCCCAGCGCTCTTTTTCGTTTCCGCTCCACAGACTAAAAAGAAATGGACTGCTCCTAGTCTAGGCTTTTCTGAAAGTTTGCGAGTAATTGCAACCGTAACCGCCTTCCGAGAGCCTTGTAGGATAAACTAAATTCAAGTCATCTGGTCTTTTTCGCGCAGTTCGATCCTTAATGGAACGTTGTTAAAATACTTTTACTAAGCTCTGGCCATGATAACGCTTTCACAACCTAACTTAAACGTTATTTATAAATGAAAACCGAATGATTTTGCCGCGCCATTAAATCGTCTTTACATGTAAAGTTGGCGCGTTGTCCCAAGCATAAAGTTACAATACGGTTGTCCAATGAAACCTTTTGAATTACGTCCTTTAGTGCATGGTGGAAGGTTGGGTGGTGAATACCGTCGAATATACAACGGCTCTCCTGTATTCTGATTGGTTGTATTTTCTATGGCATGGTATATGTCCCATCCCCGCGCCACGGGCTCCTGTACACGTTCCCCTCCACTGTCCTGTTTCTTATATCAGAATAAACAAGATTGAGAAACTTAGACTGATAATTTTTTATTTGAAAAGGCAACAAAGTGAAGAAGATTAAAATATGCAAGAAATGTAACTATTTACAGATATTAAAAAAGACCACTGAAATCATAAAAATTGAAGAAATATTGAGATATATAGTGTTTTTAACACTGACAGCAAACTTTGAAAATTGACAAAAATGTGTTCTGATGCACATAATGATGTTTACAAGTAATCGCAGATTTCTCATTTAAATGGAAAATACCGACAGACAAATTTGAAAAAAAATGAAATAAAAAAATGAAATATAGAGTGTTTGAAAGTTAACAATATTTTCTTGATTTACGTAATACAGTTGAACCTTGATTTTCCGGACTCGTTGGGACTAGAC